CAAACGAAAAACAATTTAAAAATCCGAATAGTTCTCAATAAAAGTAATTGTAAAGATTTGAAATGAAATCTGTGTGTTCTAACAGAACACGTTCAAGATAAAGATCATTCAGTCGATTATACAAAAAAATTCTCCATTTCGAACCAGTTTTAAATGAAAGACAATTTCTGGAGATGGCTAAAATGAAAATTAAAGAAAACAATATAAACAAAAAGACAGACATCGATAATCTAAGTAAAATTTATTGATTTCTACTAACAGAAATTGTGATATTAAATCAAACACAACATATTTATGATCCAACACCAGACAGCGCTATTTCAACCCGCCATCTACGTCTCATCAGTGGTGCTAGGCTGAACCACAAATTCATTGCTGGACTCAACTGTTCTTAAAGAACTATCCTGAATAATTGAGGCGATAACATTTCTCTTACGAAGACGCCATCTAAGGGATCGACAGAGAACTCAAACCTCGAATATCAAAGAGCCTCTCCAAAGCTAAGCTTCGACATCGACCGCCGACAAGTTTTGTCCTCTGTATTTCACTGCAGATTTCACTGCTAGGCAGCTATAGTACATTCAGTATTGTCTGAGAGTGAAAGAATTTCAAGGATGCAAACATGCCAGTTTATCAAAGGAAGCAACAATCCACAAAGTCACTGAGATATTTCTACCCGCTATGCCCCTCGAGGACGCCGCTAACGAGCCATTAAAATAGTGAATTGCGACAATGAACGTCAAAAGAGGCGACCTACACTGTTTCTCATATTGCGTTAAAGATAGTATCAATAGGCGTCGGACTGTGGGTATTAATATAATTTTTCAATGATATATTCTATATGATGCGAAGATAATTGAAATATCGTGAAAATTAATTTTGTTTAGATATTTTATTTTGAGACGGACAATTTATATTTGAAAAAGTTTTTTATTCAGGATTGTTACCTTCTACAGATCTATAAAATAATCAGAATATTATTCGTTGAGTGATTCTTCACTGGAATTATTTATTTTGCTTCGATTTTGATTGTTTTGTGGATGCCTTTTTTCCAAGCGACTATTTCCAAAGCAATGTATAGGCATTTCTTCACTCCACACAGTTTGAAGGTCTTGTTATTCCTTGCGATGAATCCTTTAACTTAAGCCCAAACCAACTCTATTAGATTCAATTCACATTAATAAGGCGGCAACCGAAGAACTGTCATTTCTTTAGTTTACCATCTCATCGGTGACATACTTGACGTTTTGACTTATGATGTTTAGCCAAGTTGAGGAGCTGCGCTTATAAAATGGTTAATTCGAAAGGAATAGCTTTAATTTGTAACCACTAAGTAATATCTGCCTTCCTGCAACACAATTTCGGTAGCTTCTCAACTCGTCTACTGGGGTAACCTTCCACGAAGGTTTGTCTTCCACTTTTGATGTTCTGGTCTTGCCAAACCATTGAGACGGTATAACCCCCATTGACCCATGTTTCATCCGAATGAAAAATAGATTTGCCCAGTGTTCTGGCTTTCATTATTTCTCTTAAATAGTTTCTTCTCCATCCTGCAATCTCTGATTTTTCTACTAGCATTCTCTTTCTATCTTGTTTTCCAAAAGTGAAGTTCAGTTCTTGTAATATCTCCCATAATCTAGTTCTTCTTATATGAGGTAAAAATCTGTCACATATAACTGACAAAACTTTATTTGATGTAGGTATTTCGTTTCTTGTGTAAAAAAGTACTGTTCTCCTAATAGAATTCTAGACTTCTTCGTCGATAACCAAACACTTTCTGCCCGTAAATACTTTCGGCTCCAGAAAGCTGTTTTCCTTGTTGAGTTTCCTTAAGAATTCTAAAAATTGTCGATCTATTGACACCGGTCATACTCGCGCATTTTTGCACTACTTTTATTGATTTCTACTAACAGAAATTGTGATATTAAAATAATATAAATCACCACGATAAACGAAATTTCAAATAAGCATTCTCACATTGTTTCTTGTCAAAAACTTGACATTGTCGTGTTGAATTATTTCAAAATTAAAAGAGAAGGATCGGAAATCTTCTTTTCATAAAAAAAGTTTAAGTATTATCATTTATTAACAACTCCTACCCGGATCCTCTACTTAAGAAGATCTTATTTAGTACGTCAACCATTGACGTTCCCCTCCAATTCCTATACTTTTCTCTTCTTTACCATACATAAGTGATATGACACCCAAGTTATGCATAATCTTCAAATATTTAAATGTAAAAATAGCTTTTAGAACCATTTTCACCATCAATAAATTATTTTCTATACTTAAAGATAAAACTCCAATCACCTTTCAATATCAATTAATCTATTCTATTCCATGCTTAAATTGTGGTAGGGAATATATTGGTCAAACGTCAAGATTACTCAAAGACAGAATCAACTCACATAAAAGTGATAGTAGA